GCGTTCGTTTTAATGCAATCCAACGAAATCGTCTTACCTCGGGTACCTAAGGTCGCGTAGTTTTATCCTTTTATGCAAATCTTTATGCAAATCGCTAACTTCTGCGAGATCTATCAAATATGTTAACGGTTCCAAAAAGGTGAACTTACAAAGCTTCTCATACATGACGTCAACGACGGAAACGCGCAATGGTAATTGATAACAGAGTCCTTTGTTTAAGGAATTCGTAACACCGAGACCTATCTATTACGAGAAATAAATTATAGAAATTTTAAATGAATCTACGAGGATTTCTAACGAATATCAAACCCTCAATCGAATACTAGATGGTTATAATTCTGAGAAATTTATTGTAGTTCTTTCAACGTTTATCGTAGATCGAAAGGATATTCAAACCATCTCCAATCTTAACACCAAACCTATCATAGCTGATCAAATTGACCGATGGATGACAACAGGAAAGGAAAAAAATCACAAAAAAAAGATTAAATAAAAGAAACTACAGAAAAATTAATTACACGTGCACCAAAGGCTAATTCCTGTAGCGAGGTGACAAAAGCGATAACACAAAATGCAAAAATTCAAATGAAAAGTTTAAGAATAGTAACTTAAGTCATTTAAGAGAAACGAAGGAAGTGATATATAAAGGGTGGAAAAATATAAAAAGGAGAATAAAAATCCTGTTAAATTAGCAAGGTTCAAGCCTAACGTCACGCGAAGTTCTGCAACGAAGCCTAATGCTATCACGCATTATCCATTGTTGAGTATGCGCATACTGGAGGCGAGGGCCGCGAGAAAAAGAATCAGGCGGCTCGATCTTCCGGAACGCGAAAAAACGGGACCGTAACGCGATCAATATTCATAAAGGTTGGAAACAAGGGCGGGATGGCGACTGGAGAGGAAGGGGGCAGAGAGAGGAAGGGGACAGAGAGAGGATCGGAACGGAGAGAGTCCAATTAAGGGACCAGGAAGAGGGAGATTTCTCTTAGCGGAGAGTTAACGCGAACCTAGCATACGCGTGTAAACGGCGTCCTCTACGTATGTATTTAGATCGTGCCGAGTCTAACCTAGGCCCCCAGTCCAGATTTATTATCCCGCGGGACGTAGGCAGATCGCCCACCACTACCACCAGACCGGCTTCCCACGCATCCCTCATTCGCCGATACCTACTTAGTCCCATCGGAGGTTGCCTTAGCCTGCTTCACTGCGAGAGATCGGGCCCGTTCTAACCTTAAAACACCGTCGCGTCACGGCTCCGCGTGTCCCTGCGGCGCGCAAGCGTCGCCGCGCTGCGCGAACCTGCTGCGCAGTGGGAAAGCAGGCAACCAAAGAAGAACGGGAGTCACGGACTCGCTTTCTAGGGGAATTTCCGTGACTACTGCCTCGCGTTCATTCAGAAATATACCTGTTTGCAATGGGCGTGTAACGACCGACGAAAGTACGCATATCGCGACGATAGAAACGGCAAAGGAATTTCATCCGTCTCGGTTTACTTACCGACTGATTTAATTAAGATTATCCACCGATTCTCGTTTCCCCAGTTATAAGACACACGGTATTAAAATTGAAAGTAAACCACGTCACGAATGCCATTCGAGTTCGTCGCATTCAGCCTGTAATTACGATTCTAAAGGACGTTGGAGAACACCGAAACGAAATATCGACGGGCAATTAACACGGGTGTTAGTTTCTTAATCGAATTTACTTTACGGCGTTGTTTAACCATGAACTCGCGGTACTCTTCGTTTTGTCAAAATGGACGCTTTCGTGAGTATCTACCCCATGCAATTCCTGTAATAAGACACCAGAAAACGTAGTGATTTTTACGAACTTGCGCCTCGGGGGAATCTCTTATTACTCAAACACCGCGCATGCGCGGTCGTTGCCATCGTTACCACACTAACGCCACGCCGATTAAACTAATTTTCCCCCATGGCCGTGTATGCTAAATCGCGTTTGCTAGAATCTGGAACAAACACGTTCACACCGTTCGAAGATTCTTTTATGGGGTATGCAGACATGTCTGTAATTTTTTGACTGGCTAATGGAATTTACTTCTCGCTCGCGCATACACGACATTCTAGATACGCCCGGTAGGAAGAGCCATGTATAACAGAATGACCGATCGAAAAGCGGCGCTAACGCAGCAGGTTAACCCACACGATCGGCCGATCGCGTCATCTTCTTATATCCTCGATGACGTCACGCGACAATCTCCACAGGAGGTTAAGGACCTCGAAATCGGCCCCAAAGCGCCTATATCTGTAGGCGCGATTTAATTCGGCGATTTGCTTTCTCGTTTCTCGTTTCTCCGAAATGGTACTGCGCACGCCCACCATCGATAAACTGTTTCGCTAAAAGATACGCACCGATGAGTTTCCTAGCCTAACCCATAAAGGTAAATTTCGAAAAACTTGCAAGAGGGAAAAGAAGATAAATAGTAAATTCTTTTAATTACATTCTTCATTCTTTTCCTCCCTTTTGAGATTCTTAATCGTTTCCTTGGAGATAAGGAGGCAGTAAATTCCTTTATTTTCACGGTTCACGGTTTTTAATCATTCTCTAAGGGACAAGGAAATTGTAAATTTTTTTACTCTCGTTCCTCGAGATTCATAATATAATGTTCTTGGGTATAAGGAAACAGGGGATTTTCTTATTTTCCCTCGCCGTGATTAACTCTTACATATTTATGAGTTGGCGGTTAAAAATCGGGGCGCGTTAAAAATAGGCAAGGTTTCGAGGAAAAAATGAAAATTGGATAAGTACAGTGTCTTAGACGGGGTCAAAATTAAAAAGACAACACACGGGGATTAAAATTGCAGGAGTGATGAAATACCGTGGTAATTTTAAGCAATTGTGCTCGTGTACGCTTATAATATTGCGATCCGGCACCAATGTTGCAGAAAATAATCGCCGATCGCCATGCTCCTGGAATGATCCATCATCATACGTGATTATAATGATTACATGTCACCCTGCACAAACAACTCCGTCATCTTTTAATTTCTCGACATCGATGAGGCTGAATCGCTGCTACTCCAGCTACCCCGGCTACCTGATTGCTATCCGGACACTGTTGCAGAGTCAAAATAACACGGAAAAAGTCCCGGTAACTATGCCGATAATATCGAAATAATGATATATAATTCGAGTACTAACTGTCGGCGTTAGTAACAATTTTCTCGTTCTAATTATACGTGTGACATTGCGTGTAATCACAACGATTTTCCCATTGAAAATCTGTGAAAATTCAGCTATTAAAGGGAAATAATCTCGCGACTGTCATATTTTTATGATTCGCTGAATTACGCTTTACATATGCAGATCGACAGATGCATGGCAACGAACTAGTCGAACTGTCACGTTAATTTAATTGGTCCGATTAAAATGCATTCGCATGCACGGACATTGCTTTACGCGGCTAGTTGCCGCACTGCGGTTATGCATGTTAACAACACAATTAACTACGCGTTGGATCGTTCTTCGAACGGTCGCGTATCTGAACAGTGGACACGTGTGTTTCCATTAGACCGGTAGAAAAGAACATTACCCATAGACAATTTTGTTAATTAACCCGTTAATTATTATCCGCTAGTTCACCGCGTAATCGCGATAATTCGGTGAATGGGTCGTAAATAGCAATCAGGCCGTAGCACTTTGTATAAGCGACTAATCTTTTTAATGTTCGTACATAAATTCTCCTTGCGATAGCTAAACTTCGTTTAGTGCGACTTTCCCGAAAGTAATGGAAATTGGGTGTAATGGAAATTGCTAAATTGGACGCTTAGCTAAATTTGACTATGAAAAATTGTCAAAATAACAAATGTCATTTCGCAAATCAGAGCTGAAGAAGTACTACTTTTGATCGTTATATTCTTTATTCGAGATCATTGCCAATTAGATGCAATTAGGCAGCTGGAGGTGCTGATAAATCGTTGATTGATTTTGGTGGAAATAAATTTCTTGTGCTGCACTTGTCAATGAGTGCATCCTTGGTGGATCACAATAGGATTAAGGAACCTCTGATACAGTGTCGATTAGCAATGAAGAACTATTCAGTGCTCGATAGATTGCCCTTTTTGAATTTGCAATCCCAAGATAGTCTGAGTAATATTCACTTATTAATTACGTGCAATCTGAGAGGATATATGAGTAAGTACGCTGTACTTAATTTTGGCTAAGACGGATTCGGTGGATATTCAAAATCGATTTTCTTGACAACGAAGCTTCCAATGAAAAAATTTTATTCCTTATTTTCGATTTGCTTTTTCATGTACAATCACCCTCTCATCGGTTGTGCCCCACCGATGTTGATGTATCGATGATCCATACATTTATGTCATGATTAAGTGCACATGTTCTCGGTGGATGTCCAAAATGGATTTTCTCGAGAACGAAACTTTAATTGAAAGAATTTTATTCTTTATTTTCAATTTGTTTCTTCGTGTAGAATCACCCCCTCGGTTGTACTACCACTGCTGGGACACCCTGTATTTGATCAATCTCGTTTTCACATATTTTCCCAACGATTCTTGGCAATGTGTTGAAGGAAATTCTTGTTCCTTGGAAGATGCTCTTAAAGGTTCCAAAGAAATTTTTCATTTGCAGGCGATACCAAAAATGGCCTCTTTCAATATTTTCCTTTATTCATTTCTAAGTTCTCAAAATGATTAATTTAACGATTTGCTATTATGTAACTCCCGAAATACCAAAAATAATAAATCGCGACTTCAAATGGACGAAGGACGATTAGTTTAGATGATAATGCGAAATAAATTTGGAGGAGAGAAGATAGAAATGTTATTATAAAAATTATAAGAAAATTTGGAATCATCTGGAAAGGATTAGAAAATGTAATCTGAATCGGTCCCTAATCCGGAATAGGTATATTGAATTAAATTTGATACCTTGTAATTGCCTTTAATTGTAGATGTATTATTAGAACACTTCACATGTACAATTGATTGTTTCTTTTAACTTACTGTTATAGACATGGTATATATTCCTGTATATATGAACTTATATCACGTTACACGTATTCATTTTTGAACGACTTTAAGTCAAAGCATAAGATGAATACCAAGTACCTCTATTACAAGGAAAAATTGGCGTCTGTATTGAAACAGTACATGCCACGCCTGAAATAATACACATCGTCGTGATTATTCTGCCAAATTTAACAGAGCGAAGTAACGAAATATTTTTACGTTTTCGTTGGGACGTCATCTCCGAAGTAGACCTCCCCAATCCCATATCCGGTGTCTAAATAAGGTATAAAGCATTTGTGCGCCAAGAACGCATGGGGGTGACGTATAGCCCTAGCGTATATGTGGGCAGATCGTTGATGACTGCATACCACTACCAATGACAATATGAAATTTCCAAGATAAATTGATAATTAGTCTAATTTTTCAGCTCAATCTTTTATGAAAGCCTATTATTATAAAAATAATTCTCTCTTAATGAATGACATTCAAACCTATATCTTAATCGATCTGAATTTTCCTGGCAAATAACACTGTAATAAATATAGGAAAAAGGACAAGTCTAACGTTGGAATAATATTTTACAAACATAAGATACTCTCTTCCAATTACTGGCTACTTTCTTTACCAGCGAAAACAATTACGGTAAGCAAACAACCTAAGTGAAACGTTACAAATTATACCGGTAACCGGTTATCGGTATTATAATTGTTTCACGACACAACTCCTGGAATGTCTAAATGACAAACATTATGATTTACCTGAACCAAGGATTTTCAGGGGACAACCTGGTTGCGGCTGGACCCCTCTGTTTGCGTAAAAATCAACAGACCCCGTGTTGAGAGGCGTCCCAAAAACTCCAGCATCAGTGTGAAGGATAACGACAAAGTCTGCGTCGTCTTCTGTGAGGTGACACTCAGTAGGATAAAACAACGGTAACGCTGGGTCTAAGCCTGTATCAGAGGATCGATACTCACATTTTCAACTTGATACAAGCTCTACTAGCTAAAATATAATAACACATTCAGTTATTGTTCAAATTCCTATTTCACGCCCTGCTACTACTTTTATCAGGTACACCTAAAACTCGTTTTTATTACACGCTATTCGAATTAACTTTTAACAAAGAAATTTATGAAAGCTACTATACTTTGTACTCGATGAAAGATTTCTAATTGCATTATCTGTAACCGCCTTATTATTCAAATTTTCACCTGAATTACTTGCTTCTGACCCCTTTCCCCTTCTTTTTTAATTTTAATTACCGAAAAAAGTATTTGCAAAAATTAATCCGCAAAGTTAAGTTAACTCTAATAATTCTCTATATAGATAATTACCCTATTTTTAATTCCTTCGTTCAAATTTTTGACTAGTATTATTCTTGATCCAGATCCTAGTGAAAAAATATTTGCAATTATTTTTTCAGCAAAAATTCATCTGCCAAGTCAAGCGAATGATAATAATCCTTTATATAGATAATTCCCCTATTTTCCCCTATTTCCCCTATTTCATTTCCCCTTATTATATTATTCCCCTATATTAATTCCCCTATTTCGAATTTCTTTAATTCCTAATCCAGATTTCCTAGATATTTCAAATACCTCTAAGGAACGTTTAGAAATAATTATGGAATAAAAATTCATCCAAATTCCCAAGGTACACACTGTTTACAGTTTCGTGTTGCTCGTTTCGTCTTCTCGCAGAACCTTTAACCACTCACCCGTTATTCGGCTAAGAGTGGATTCCATGGATCTCCCAATAAAACCAGCAACGTGAGCTCCCAAAGAATGTCCGATTACGTGCAAAGTCTTCAAATTGATCACATCGGAAAGTTTCTCAAGGGCTACTACGGCCGCTTTTCCTACCGCGGGCACGTGGTCAGCCGAGTAAATGTAGGAGAAGTTAATTGCCACGGTCCCCCAATCGAGGGAGATAACATTCACGTCTCCTCTATCCAGGTAGGCTGCAAACATGAAACCGTGAATTCATTCGTCTCATTTTCTTCTCGTATATTGCATTTTGCATCGTGTGATATTAATACCAGCAATTGGTATCTGAACGTTCTGCGCGTCCACGTTCTCCAGGTATCCGTGGATGTAGAGGATGCTGTCTTGTTCGGGCGAGATGGCGTCACGAACGTTTTCCAGATCCGTCAGTGGGCTTCCGATAACCGTCATGTTAGTGCTATCACTGTAATCGTGGGATATATTTTTCGACCAAATATTTTGTATTTGAACTGTTGCATTTTTTGAAAATTAATCTTCATTAAAGACGATTATATTATATAAGCGAGGCTATTAAAGAATAAAGAATAGATCACGAAGTTACGTTACTTCCTCGTGGAACTAATTATACACACAATTTCTGCGATCTCGAATTAAACGATCAATTACGTATTTCCAAAAGAGACTAGAAAATATATAACCGTGAGGATAATTATGATACTTTATCGGGGAACATAAATTCACTGAAATAAATGTTTCATCACCCTTTGAAAACCTTCAGAGAAATTAAAGGAGCGACGTCAGCAGGGATTCCTCTTCCATTACCTACACCGAAAAAGAGAAACAAAGTAATTCTATGACCGTTGCACTGTTTAATTCTCTCATTTTTTAATGGGTGACAGGATAAATGAAGAGAAAGAAAAGGAAAAATGAATTTATACGTACATTTTGCGTCGACGCTGTTTTCGCGAATGAAACAGAGGATCAGACACAGGCAAACGTGTATTTTCAACATTGTCACTTTTGTTTAAAGATGGTTGGAAAATATACACTGTTCAGTAAACTCTAACGTACTATGTGCCTATGTGTTATTCGTGATATTTCGAATCACTTATGAACCAGATCGGGAAAACTTTGCCATATATATACAAAGCATCCTCTCCACGAGGCCATTTCGTAAGAGGAGGGAATGAAGACTATTATTTTAGTACGAGGGAAGTACGCCATTGACAGATTCTACGACACAATGTCGATCAGTTGTACGATAATGAGATAATGTGTATATACAACTGGCTGTTAAAACTTATTCGAAGTAATTGAAAATGTTTTGCAACATGCATTTATCTAATTGCTTTGTCAGTGAGCGAACGTGCGGAAGCAAAGTTGATAGTAAACAGTTATTGCAAGTTATTAACAAAACTATCGAGATACATAAAATTTTCTGCACACGTGCTACATACAAGGACAGGGTAAAGTAGAATTTGGCTTTTCACTTTTCCTGCCATTTCTTTCGTAAAATCGATTCCCTTTCTACTTCGAGGATCACTAATTCATTGGAATTACTCGGAAGTATACAGTATTTTAATTAAATTCGCCTAAAAGAAATTTATATAATCAAATTACATATTGATAAATTAGTAGAAACATTGCCAGACCTAACAAAATTAACCTATATTTTTTAATTGACAAATATCCTATCCCTCAATCTTCTCGAAACAACAGAAAATGGACTTGTACCATTTTCGAAGTAAACCAGCCACGAATTATACCTTATTCCTTCTTTGTCTTGTTAATTGATCGTTTAATCCTGATTTTTCCTAAATTTTTAAAGTCATCGACTTCTGGGTAATTAGTGATTCTTTTGTTCTATATCATAATCTGTCAAACAGTTCATTATCCCTAAAAAATTAGTGCGTTGCCATTGAAACATGACTTTGCAACGACGTATCTAATAATTAACATTGCTGCAAAATGTGGAGATAAGGATTGCATATACTTTACATATATTTTAGATAACGAAGAAAAATTATGTGACGTAAAAGTTTCGAAGGTAATGTTTATATTTAACATTGCTCAGACACTATGCAAGATTAAACAAAGTTTGAATTTTCTTCAACAAAGTTTGAATTTTGCAAACCTGTGAAATGTGTTTAATAAGTTTATCCAAAAATTACGTTGAATATGAATGTCAATGAGGATTATTAAAAAAGAATGAAGAGTGGAAATATCGAATGTGGATAAAATATTCTACGTTTCTATTATGTCCACTCCTGAGCGATATGTTGTATAAAGAATAACTCTCCTAACTATAAGAAACAAAATTTACGTAAGCTTGCTACAAATTATTATTATATCACGTTGGAAACTACCATTGGACTTAAATCGATGCACACACATGTATATAATACATATAAGATTACACCAAATAGGTTTATACGATCCAAGAAAATATTTTTAAGTATACCGTATGACTCAAAACAGAGGAAAATTACAGTTCAATTACCTTTATTTAATAATTTTAATATCTTCGCATTTTTATCATTTCTGAATTAAGTAACTACTAATTCCTAGTCAACGAATCGTTCGAAGTTCTTAAATTGTTCCAAATTTGTGGAATTCCCTATTGCGAATTTTCCATAAAAGACTCGCTCCTTTCAAAATTACCAAAATTTTTCAAAAGAAGAAATCTCGAAGATCGCAATACGAGTATCGTAGGGACAAGCTAGATAATTTATAATTTCTTTCTTTCAAAGAAATTATATTCGTTTGTCTTTAAATTTCCCTTTCCCTAGCATGGAATATCAAATAACGCAGGAATGAAAATTTTCAAAACGCAACGAAACGAAACGCTTCTAGCAAATTAGCGTGACTCTCGTTTAGCGTTGCAGATCTACCGTGAATGATCTCAAAAGTTGCGTTTGTTTGTGACAAATTTAATCTTAAAAGGACGCCAAAGTAAGAGCTACGAGTCGAATTGAAGAATATCTAGTAAACTTCTCTTAATACCTTGAAGACGAAAAATAAGCTATAATCATAACACCGAAACGGAATTTAAAACACGTCAAGCTAAGTGCATTCGTCAATGTATTTACTCCCATTGCTTCAACCCCTGCAAGTCACATGTAACGTGTACATAACAAAGTATAAAGAATCCGCTGTAACCGAGTCGTGTACGAGGTACATTCCAGCAACGTTGCTACCAAGTGCATCACCTTACGTAACAATAACCCCAGAACGATGTCCCAATCGAATCCTCGACGATCCGTAGGCGAACTTTCCCAGACCAATTAACCGTACGGAGCGAGTAATGTATTCGCGGAAAAATGACCTAGCTACGAAGCGAGGCGAGGCGAGGCGAAGCTGCAGGAGCAGGCAGCAGAAGCTGGCAGCAGGAGCACGACGCGTCCGAGTTCGACTTATCGAGCGAAATCGTGTGGCGCTCCAGGGATATAAATGCTACGTTACAAGCCGAACGGACGCGATAAAAATTCATTACAAGCGCAAAGAGCTCGCGCGAGCAAGCGATTTACGCCTACGGCGATGCGGGCCCAACGGCCGTCTCCTCGCTGGCAATAATTAGCGCGTGTGACGGAACGATCCGTCATCATTGATAATTATGACGATTATGCGCGGTCGGTGCATCGCGTGCGTTAATGCAACCTGCCGCCGTCTGATTGGTGCGCACGTCCAACTTAATTGCGCTAACCTACGAAACGTCGATTAACGATCGCAATAACCGGGCGCCACGACAACCGTCTTAAATCAACCCTGCCCAACGAACACACCAGACGACGACCACGACCGTTGATAGGCCGGTGTGCACGTCCCTTTATCCCCGGCCCGCTACGCCAGCTCCATCTACGACGCTACCCCTGTTACCAGCCGCCATCTTGCCGTACAACGCGCCGGACGGGACTAGATTATTTAGTCCCTCGCCCCGATTTCATATACAAGTAATAAAGATTTAATAGCGGCCTATTTGTATAGTTTATTATTCGCTGAACGTACGCGATGCCGATAGATATTTCATACGCACGGTTTTATACCGTACACACCGCGGTTTCCACCGCGTTGCACACCTTTTATCGCAGAGCAACTATGTTTTATCCGCGGATCGAAGACGAGCGGGGCGTTTCCGTTCACCGTGTTTATAGCTTATCGTTAAATAATAATTGCCATCGACTCGTCGAAGGTAACGTATTATATCCGCGGTACTGAATACGTTAGCGCCATTAATAGCGGATACTTTCGACCTCTTTTCTTTTTTCCATCCCTTTCCCCTATCTTTTCCCTCTCCCTCTCTTCTACACCCTTCCTTTTCCTTTCTCGTTCATTTTACTTTTCATTCTTTCCTTCTCCTTCTTCCTTTTTCCATACATTGCCGCGTCGTTATCCTTGCCAATGTATTAAACGCTCCGTTGGCTTAACTAATTCGCGCCGTACGTGCCTCGAATCGCTCGATTTCAATGAAAGCGAATCCTTCATTATCCCATAATCCCGCTCGGTTTATATCCGTCCCGTGCCATCGTGGATACGATTAATCCTCGGCAGACCTTTTGCGACCATGATATGCGCGCCAGTTGCCGATAAAAGTGTCCTCCCTTTATTATTCGTCGTTTCGAGTACTTAATACGGAATACGATACTCGCGCAATCATATCGTATATATCGTGTACATCGTATCGCGTTAGAAATTTGTCGCTTAACGATCCTGTATAATTTTATACTTTTCTCGGAATGTGCTTCGACGGAAATCGAGCTGTCCGAAGACACACGTGTGCTTTCTACCAATTTTATTTTCCTTCCTTCCATTTTTTTCCTTTTTTTTTCTTTTCTTGGTTTTCCGAGTTCGAGTAAGTAAATATTTAAGATAGCATTATCGGACGTTCAATTTTCGCTGCTTTAAATTTCTTAATACTTGGTACGAGGTTGGTAATTTCGTATTACGACACTGATAAAATAAGTACTTTTTACCCGATATCATCCGCCAAACAATTCATTATAATACATTACATTATACCGCAACAGGGAAGAGGTATCCATTACGGAATCGGAAAGGCTGATATTAAATATCGGGATACGTGATTTCCGTACAAAAATTACATGCATTACGAACTCATCGAAAGGAATTACCATTCTTGAACACTGTAAAACCTACTTACACGATTACTTATCTCGAAAACTTACAGCGATGCTTCAAAACCGAAAGTACCGATTCACGACCATCGCGAACAAGACTCGAGAACGAGATCGGTATTTTCATTTGCCAACTGATAGATCCTGATAAATCCGCGATCCTGGTAAAAACATCTCCAAAGTATCCATGAATAATACAAGAGAGCGGGTGAAAGATAAAAGAAGGAGAGCAAAAGGGGTGAAAGAAAGGGGTGAAAGTTGACTGAGGAAAGAATCTATTATAAAATAAGAGATTTTATTACAAAATCGAGATTCTATGGAACGAGCTCGATATTTTCATCTCTTAATTGATAAATTTTGATAAATCGCGAAGAAATTCACGAACAACAAATAAGTGGCACAGGAAAAATAGGAAAAATAGGAAAAGTCATGACAGAATTGACAAATAAGTGCAGGGTAATAAAGGGATGGAGGGGAGAGGGAAAAATCGTGAAATAAATTTTAAGAAAGGTTTATCATTTTCTACGGTCCGCGATCCTCGAGAACGCGATACCAAAGTTAATCTCGTTAGCAAGATGGCGCATGTGCACACGCGATTCGTGGCGGAACAGCGCGGACCGTCGCCAGGAATTTTATAAGGCATTAATTGCAGTCGACTGGCGATTTATAGAGGCGGACTCATCAATTAGAGAGATTTGCATAGACGTTTTAATTAGCGTTGCCGCGCCACCGGCGGGCCACGGCCGCCTTCCGTTTCTGCTTTAGCGCCATCTTTCATCCCTTTATCCTTCTTCGACTCGCTGCTTTCCCCGCCGTTTTCTCGATATTCTATCCGTGTGTGTAAGTTCGTGTGCATATACGTTCTTCTTTCTAACCTACCATAACTCCATATCTTTCCTCCTTCTCCTTTTTCGCGGATTTACGAGGAAAAGATTCACGCTGCGGGAACATAGCGAACGGATTA